AAATAGTTTATTTGATGGTGGTCAGGGAGTAGGATTGATGTTAGGAAACAGTTCATAATTTGTCTTACTGTGGATTCTCAGTAAAGGATTTTAAGTTTTGAATTAACAGTTAAAGCTATCACAAAAATGGCAGTAACAATAATAGCATCTCACATATTTATCACTGTTTCTGTATTCAGGCATTATACTATTATTTTTATGTAGGTATATTTTAACAAGAAAAAAGATACTAAAAAGGGTTATAAAAATTTTATGTTGTCCAAAATTGCTAGATGACCAGTAATATATTTCAGTTGATGTGTAATTGTTTGACTAAAAAAAAAAGGATAAGATAAAGATAGCAATTATGTCACACGGACAAAGCAGGTATACTGACAGAACAAAACCAGGCACACAGGAAGAACATAGTTACCATGAAGTTCTAAGGATAGAATGTAAATTTGGCTAGTGAGTTTTTTCGGCCAGTGGTGAGGGGGAAAAAAACTGATCAACAGATGAACCACAAAGTTAATTCTTAAAAAAATAAATCAGTTATTCAGGGCACATGGCCGGCTCAGTCAGTAGAGCATGTGACTCTTGATCTCAGGGTTGTGAGTTCAAGCCTCATGTTGGGTGTGGAGCCTACTTAAAAAAACAAAACAAAAAAAAAATTTTTTTTCAAGAGAATCTCAATAATTCCTAAAACTAACACCAGAAAAAAAAAAAAAATCTCCCAAGGTGAACATCAAGAAAATACTGCAAGGCAGTAGACACCATACTGGACAACATTGTGACATAAACACAGTAAGCACATCCATAGAGTATTCCTTCTGGACTTCCTCAACATAGATCAGAAGGACCCCACCCAGCACAATTCACAAAAATCAGTTCTGTTATGAGAATAAGCCAATGTGTTCCATGTAAACTGCTCTAGATCAATTAGTTTAATCCAGAGGGAGATTCTAGATTATACTAACCCTGAATATGCAAGATTTCCTATCCCTCAGGAAATCTGTAATCAACGATGTTTTCTCAGTTGAGGTTTTGATTTATATTGGATAATTGTAAGTTCAATAATATACTTACTTAGAAAATGAAAAATACTTAGAATATAGCTCTACTATGCTACCATTTCAATGCAGAGCTGTTTGCTTTAATAAAGTCAAAATGATTATTTGACATCCTAAGAAAAAAAATTGAAAATCTAGTAAGACGAGAATCAAAATATTGTTCCTGTTTATGTTTTTTTTTAATAGAAAGATAGAAACAGAGACAAAGTTTAGGGGGTGGAGGAAATAAAGGCAGGAGAAAGAGAAACACATTATTACCGGAATTCTAATGTTTCCTGTGTTGTACATTTACTCCAGCAGTTGAGGTAGAAGGATCAGGAAAGGGAATGGATATTATTGAGTGCCTTCTAATCATTCTAAAAATATTTATTGGGTATCTGTTTATAAGGTTTCAAGTATAGGGAAATCAATTTAGGCTTATAGGTTGTTGTATCTGAGCACCCAAATATATGAATGCTTACCTGAGGCCAATTTAAATGAAAAGTCTGGCCCTGAGTTAAAAGTTGCTGATGATAGAAACATTCTACTGCAGAAGAATTAATAGAAACTACTGTATTCAGTGGAAATTTAGTTTTTGCAATTACTACTGATGGCAGCAAAACCTAACAAAACATAAAATAAGAGAATCTCAAACCAAAGAAGGACGGTAGTACCTATGCATACTGACTATGATTGATAGTTAATATGGCAGAACTTGTAACTTCATTGCTTCCTAACTAGAATACTTTCTTTTGCTTTTTTATTTGGACAAAAGAGAGAAAGAAAGGCCAACTTAAAGGGGGAATGAGTACTTATCAAGGCAAAGTAAAGACACCTGCACAATGAACTAAATTCTCCAGTTGTGGTTCTTATTCAGGTGAAAAAGTACCTGAATGTCATGTTTCTTGAAGAACTCCATGAACTATTGCTATATTAAACTAAAAACAACCTGGTATGAATTCTTGATTAAATCAAATACCATCCTATATTAGATTGTACTATAAGTAGCAGATGAAATGGTTTCTTAAATATAAGAAAATATTTACTGTTAAGAGAACTTTTGGATGCCTGGGTGACTCAGTCAGTTAGCGTCTGACTCCTGATTTTGTTCAGGTCATGATCTCAGGGTCTGAGCATTGAGCCTGGTGCATCGGGTGTCAGGCTGTGCCCTGGGCATGGAGCCTGCTTAAGATTCTCTCTCTCTCTTCCCCTTTTCCCCCACTCGCTCTCTCTCAAAAAAAAAAAAAAAAAATGAGAGAACCTTTTTTTATTTTACTTTTTATACACTGGGAAACAGTTGCTGTAACCACAGGAGACCTTGAGAAACTAAAAACTGAGCAGGTTTCCCAGGATTAGAAGAGAGGTTAACAGAAAACTCTCTATAGAACAGATAGAATGATTAAATTAATTCGGAAGAAGACGACTTTGTGAATTTTTGAAAATGCACCTAATTGATTTTACATTTATATTAAACTATATTAAGCTTTCTTACTATACAAGGTACATTGCTCTTCCTTACTATGTGTCAACTAATGAACCAAAGGATTTAAACAGAGCTCTGTGTTTGCAAGGAAGAACTTACATCTTAAGATTTTTACAGATATCTATGGTAACTTAGATTAGGTGAGAGACAAGTCAGTTATTATCATAAAGTTCTATAAGAAAAGTAGTCCTGGATGAGCCAGAAGATACTGGTGGCTCATCATGTTGTTTGCTTCTAAATCCAATGGATTTTTTACTGTTATCATGCTGTCATGTCTTATGATTCATTAATATGTAGAGATTGAATGAAAAGTCTCTGCCTAAAAGTTAAAGGATTTTTTAATTAAAACTTTTTTAAACTTTATTTTATTGGAGTAAGAACACTTAATATGAGATGCACCCTCTTAAGTTTTTAAGTGCACAATACGCTATTGTACACTATAGCACACCATTGTACAGCAGATCTCAAGATCTTACGTATCTTGCATAACTGAAAAGTCACACCCATTGACTGGCACCTACCCATTTCCCTTTCCCCCCGGTTCCTGGCAACCACCATTCTAACATCAGAGTTTGACTGTTTTAGATATTTTATATAAGTGAGATCATTATACAGACTTGTTCTGTAACTGGCCTATATTTCACTTAGTTTTCCCTAAGGTTCGTCTGTGTTGCTACCTATTGCAGACTTCCTTCTCCTTCTTTGTTTTTTTTTTTAAACGCTGAATAATATTCCAAGTAGAAGTATTTCTAAATCAAAGTTCAGACTGCACAGCAAATAGGGAAAAAAATATATCCACTGACCTCTGTGACAAGGTATTCTAAATATGGTACCACAGGAGATTTTCCAGCGCCCATTAGGCAGAGAGATTCAGTCCACCTCTATCCAGGGAAGCAGATATCTTGCAAACTAGCATGGCAACATGTGTCATATCTATTCATTCAATGATACACTAATAATTTCAGAGGGAACATAAAAACACTATCATATTCAATGTAGATATTGACATACAAAGATTTATCTCCAATATAAAAAAGAAAATGTGACTTGGAATCAGTTAAATGTTGTTCCTTTACATTTCAGTCGTTTCCTTTTTCCAGGGTATTGATTTGTTAAATAAGAAGGGACAGATACTTCCCAACCTTAGAAGAGTTTCATTTCACAGTTTAGGGTGATAGAAAAAAAAGCACTGAGATTGACCTCCCTGGAGATAGCAAATGGCGGCAGAATGTCGACCTTGCAGGGTGAGAATAAGAGATGGTGGACATAAACTGTATACAGGGATTAGGTAGAAGCAGGGTTTTGGAAAGCTTTAAGCCTAGTGAGAGCAAATAATATTGTCTGTGACAGACAAAAGTCCTCAGTCGATTAGAATGAGAGTAAAATTGTCAAAGTGATGCCAAAATAGGCAGAGGGGGACATTTTTTCTTTTTAATTAAAAATCTAGCTGAGTTTGAAGTAGAGAGCAAAAATTTTTCATCTGTCTACACTGTCAGCCCTCCATGCATGTGAAAATATATTTATTATTTTCTAAATTAATTTAATGAGTTCCAGATTGTACAGGATGTCATAATGGAAACAGGATTATACAAGATAATAAGGAGGTTTTTTTTTTTCTCTCTAAATGAGTTTTACCTAGACTCCCTGTGTCCTACTTTTGATCTTAACTGTGTTTCATTTACCACATTGAAGGAGGTTACATAAAGGGTAAAATAATAGAAACTTAATCAGGAAACAGGTTTTCTTATTGCTACATTTTATTATATACTCTTGCCATATTCTTTAACCTAATTCTTGAAAATAATAAAAGATGTATCACTTTAAAATAAGGACAATTGAAACCACATTGCTTTATAGTTGTGCATCTTTCTTCTGAGCCATCTCAAACATTTCACACCAATTGATCTTCAGAACAACCTTGTAGATTATTTAAGGGTTATTGGTGGGGAATATAAACTTCCTGAATTCTACCTTCTGTAAAATACCAGACAAATATTAATGGCTTGGGAATTTAATTTTACAGATGAAAAATAAACATTAAGAGGCAAAATAATTTCTCAGAAACAGATTCTTGTTTCCAAAAGTTCAAATAACTTTTCTGCTAGAGAATAGTACAATATGAACTGGCCCCATTAGTCAGAGCGTAGAGTTTTACAGTTAAAAATAATTTCTTGGAAAGTATTATCCTGGCATATAAAGATGTATAGTTAAAATGCACACATGACTGGTTCTGTTAATGTAATGCTATTTTCTGGTAGACAAATCTCTGCATATGCTTTATATAACTTATACCAAAATAATTAGTCTATTTAGGCGGGCACTTGAATTCTGAAACCTTATGTCCATGACATTTCTGCCATCCTAAATCAATTTGGAAAAGACTCCCAACTTGGCAACAGATTTATCTTCTGAATTTCCAAATAAATACTTTGGAAAGTTGAGTTTACTTCTCTAACGTTTCCTCATTTCATTTCCTCATCACCGGCCAGATAATCACCATAGCCACAGCCTTGAAGAAAGAATCATCTATGGAGTAGAAAATAGTAGCACGTTCCTGGAATGCAGTCCAAAATCACAGCGAGCTCTAGTCTATTGGCAATTCCAGAGGCGAAATGAAGAGCGAAAAGAAGAGGTATAGGAATGAAATTGACTGGATTATTTCTGTCTAACATATAATGTTAAGTGACCCCAGCATGGTTGACTTGAGGGTGAAAAAATAGAGAATCTTCATCTTGTTCTTAACCCATCAATAGTCCATTCATTAAACAAGCATTCACTGAAGGCTGATCATAAGACAGGCTTTGCGTTAGGAGCTGGAGAAACAAAAGTGAACTGATAAGAATTTTGTCCCAGAAGCCATTTGGGGATCTATTTGAGAATCTTCTTTTTCCCTGTAGTTACCTACAAAGCAATTTGTTATCTATATTTGTGTACAAAAGAAAAAATCAGATCCTTTACTAATTTTAACATTTGTTCAATTAATTCTGCTATCCAAACATGTTTTTTTTCTCTATTAACTTCCTCCTCAAATGGGGAGGGAAGGTTTAGGGACGGGAGTAGGAGATTTAGGACAGAGGGTCTGGGGTCCATCCCAGTGTGAACTCTGATATGAACTATGCATGTAGCATCAGAGACAGATCTTCCTCCTCCATGTATTCATTTATTCCTGAGTAAAATTAGAGAAATGTACACAGAAAATCTCAATACTCTGAGCCTTTAAAGCTTTTTAAAAGTATTAAGTAAGGGTAACTAACCAGATTGTGGAGGTGATTTGTAAATGAATTCTGTGCAGATAATTTTCCAAATATAATCTGAATATAAAGTTTAAGATCCTCCATTATCTTTTTTGACATTTGAAGTGTCTTTAAATATGTGATCACATCATACAAATGTCAGAGTTGATTTAGACAGTTTTATACCCTCTCAGCTTAGGCTTTCAGAGTTGTCTGCTGTAAACTGTATTCAAATAAAAGTGAGATTAGATATATTCAAGAGCTTATCTTCATGTTTATGTCACATCTAAGACTTGGAAAGTGAATAAATAATTATTAAGCATGTAGTTATGCTGTTTTCTGATAATCATGGTTCTGTAGTTCCAAGATTTACTGTTAACTTTCTCCCATATTTATATACCTTCTTTCAAGTTTATAAAATAAAGTATATCTTTGTCCTTTCATTATCTTGAATATTTTAAATTATTATAATGAAAAATTCTATTAAGACAGTAGACAACCAGTATGCATTTGCAATGCATCTTAAAAGTGATTTACAGAAATTTCTCTTTTTTTCTGATGGAGAACTGCTATGCTAGACATTTTATTAACTGGTTTAAAGTGTGCCTCAACACATAATCTAAATTTTTACTGAGACAGAGTCCCAGAACTTCTATTTCTTTAAATATGTATATTTTTGCTACCATTTCTCTTCTGCTAGATCAGAGTGGATGATCATATCATCAGGACAGAACAAGGCCTTCTACTGCGTAGCCTACAACGGAAGGATTCAGGCCATTACCTCTGCCATGCCGTGGAACATGGATTCATGCAGACTCTTCTTAAAGTGACCCTGGAAGTCATTGACACGGAGCATTTGGAAGAACTTCTTCATAAAGATGATGATGGAGATGGCTCTAAGACCAAAGAAATATCCAACAGCATGACACCTAGCCAGAAAGTCTGGTACAGAGACTTCATGCAGCTCATCAACCACCCCAACCTGAACACAATGGATGAGTTCTGCGAACAAGTGTGGAAAAGGGACAGAAAACAGCGTCGGCAAAGACCAGGACATACCCAAGGGAACAGTAACAAATGGAAGCACTTACAGGAAAATAAGAAAGGTAGAAACAGGCGGACCCACGAATTTGAGAGGGCACCCAGGAGTGTCTGAGCTGCATTACCTCTAGAAACCTCAAACGCGTAGAACCTTGCCTAGACAATAACTGGAAAAAATGCAATATACATGAACTCTTTTCATGGCATTATGTGGATGTTTACAATGGTGGAAAATGCAACTGAGTTCCTCCAATTATAAATTAAGTCCATGAGTAACTTTGCTAACAGACTTTCCTCCTAATACCGACACCTAATAGAGGTCACGTGAACGCAGATGTTCACTTTAGCAGACTTAAGTGTTTCCTATGAGATTTCATTGTACAGGTTTCACTTTCTTCTTTGCCTGAGAAATAAAAATGTCATTTGCCATATTGCCATCTACAGAAGAAAAACTGCATCAGCAAAGCCATTTTATTGAACTGCAAGTTTAAAACAAACTGCATGGATTTATGAAGCTGATGAATATTCCAAAATATAGTTGGATTCAAGGATATTTTTTGTCTACCAGCACTCATGTTTATATGTACTGGAGGAGTAAAATGATACTGAATAAATGGTCTGTGGAAATATAAAAAACATAAACCATCCATCATCCAGAAGAAAAATGGAATACACTGATCTACTACTGATGTCTTCTTTCAGCTTTGATCTAAAGATGTATTTTATTAAAACTATAATTTAAATGTACCATGACAAATATACAGTAAAAATTAGCTCTTTTCTAAGCTAGAGTAGGTTTTTGTCTTCGAGTTATTGTGCTATATAGTTTTTGTTTTAAAAACTCCAGTCGCGTGCTGCTTTTTGCCGGCATTGTGTTTTTAGTTCTGTAAGAGGGACAGCCGATAGTGTTCAAGAAACACATAAACATCATTTACCGTTGATTCCTAAAGCCTGCATATAAACTATGCTTTATTTCTCTGAGGAATTCAAACAAATAACACCTCCCCCTTCTTTAAGTATTATCAAAAAATAATTTTAACTTGCATAATGTTCCTAGAAAAAAACGAGCATTTAACCAGCAAAATCAGAAGCAGCAAACTGACTTGTTAAATGCCTTGTGTTGTACCTAATGGATCAATAAGGAGAAAAGGAACTGCATATTTCACGAAAATAATAAGCATTGTTTAAATATAGCAGTAACAGAAAATCTCTTAATTCTGTGCTTGAAAACTTGCATGATATTTGAGACATAAAAAACTCCCATGATTCCTTTAGGAATTACGTCTGTGTCACTTAATTTTTTTTGAAAAAAGATCAGTAATAGAACAATTTCTTAAAAGCAAATTTCCCAACTCTGTTTACATCTGTATCATCTGTCTTTTATCTCATCTTGTTTAAAATAATTATCTGTCTAAGGAACACATGATTCATTTCATGTTGATGGGAGTGACTTTTATACAAACTGTTTTCCAGGACACAGCTCACACTTAAAACATGTCAAGCTTTTTGTTTCCTGCAATAACTTATAAAATAAGGTAAAAGATGATCAATAAAGGACTTGCCTTTTTCCTTGTCCTGACATGATTCCTTGAGAATCATTGACTTCAAGGTGGATAAGACCTTCAGCATTATGATAGTTTTCTCTTGCACTGCACTCACCTTTCCAGGAATCCCTCCCTAGATCCTTCATCATGCACAAAAATGCAAAGGAAACATCTTCTTGCTAATTAATGAAAGCAGCATTGAAATTCTAACTCTAGCTGTCTTGGGATTCTGTTTAACTCAGCATTAATTTCTCACCTCAGACTACAATGAATTTTTTTTAAAATTCTCAGCTGAAATATTTCACAGATGGAAGCTGATGTTTCAATTTTAGTGATTTGAATAAACAATTTGTTAATGCCTATTTCAAATGAAAACCTAAAAATATTCTACATTCAATTTTAGGCTCCCTTGATGAATACAGTGTTACTTTTAGAAATACATCCTTAAATGGTATTTGAATTTTAAATTATTTGAAGGACATATTTCTGTAGAGAAAAAAAATGTTTGAAATACTAATCAAAGAACAAAGAGTACTCCAAAAATAGCTAATTCTTTTATTTTCATCGAGTATCTTAACTGTGCTGAAATTTGGTGTTTCATTTCCTTCGAAGTTTGCAGCTGAAACATTTATTTGCAGTAACAGAAATATCTTAATTCTTATTAGTCCTCAAAACTAATAGATTTGAAGGGCTAGATTATATGATAACTTTAGGGATGCCTTCCAATATCTGAATGCATTTTGTTTAGCGTTATGAGAAACCCAGAGAAAGGAAGTCTAGACTTCAATTAAAAGAAACAAAACAAGCAAATCTACTGGCATGTCTTTATAAACCATCAGGTCTAAGTTTTCAAAGAAAATTATAGATATAACTTGCAGGTAGATAACTCTTATTACAGTCAGAGTCTGCCAATGTGTATTGAGGGGGACAGTTGCACGAAAAATAATTAACGTCCCATTTAATTTAGTTTTAATAGACTTTGGCATATGCATGTATCATCAGGGTTGAACCTTTATTAAGAGGCTCATGTGACCAGAAGCAAGTTCTGACAGCAATCTTAAGATTGGAAAAAAGGTACATTGCAGCAGAGAAATTCTGGCCCAGTTGAAATCCAATGTAAAATGTAAATGCATGTAAAGGCACACTCAATGCTACTTTTATGTATGATTTAGTGATTTTCAGTGGTATGTGTTTAATATTTTTGGACCTTCACATTAGGCAAAAGAGATGTAAATAATTTTGAAAAGATGAGGAAGGACAGTAAACTGCAACTTTATGTAGGTACTCCATTTCAGTGTGTTCAACATCATCCTAAAATGCGAGATTTCCCCATACAGGTGACAAGGGGGTTTATGTGCTATTTAAGGGCAGAGGCTGTGTGCCCATTCAATAAGCATGTTTTTTGCCAGGTAGTAAATATGTTCCATATCTGTATTTATCACTGCATTTCAGATGGGAACTAGAAAACTGGAGAGACAAATGTAATGAAACTGCTGCTGTAAATTATTCCTGTTAGCATGTACTCAGTTGCTAAATACACATTTCTTCAAAATATTTGAATTCAGATGTCTTTACTGTTCCCTGTAGCATATGGTGTCAAGGAACATAAGCTTAGAAAATGCTGAGAACCAGAGTCAGGTTGCTACATAACAGGTTTCTTCATTCTAGTCATCTGTAAACTGGGTTCTGTATTTATGGGGATGATGTGCATTTTGATGCCCTTTAAGTTAAATGTTGTTATTTTTGTCATGCCTAAAAAAGGAAATGTAGGGATGAAATTCTATAAAGTGTTATTATCATGATCAGTTTGGTTTCCTTCAGAGTCTGCAAAGATGCCAACAATTGTTACTCAAATGGCCTATCCTTAAAGTTATAAGGAAGTATTTTATTAATATGAAGTGATGAGTATAAGATTTTGAAATCTTTATTTTATGAATTCACTTTTAAAATACAGCTTGCATTCAAACTTTAATGGAAATCATCCAATTTGATGGCCTCAAAGACAAACTTAACAAACAGGATTCAACATCACCTTACTGTGTTACAATGTGTTAGATATAAACTGCCCTAATGCCAAAGGCATCCATGCTTTTTATTTTAACTTTGTAATAATTATTCAAAGTCATTGTTAATGTTTGCACAATATGTTTCCATAAAAAAGAAAACATTATTTTTCCCAAAGTTTGCAAAAGCCTATTAGTTTATCTGATTTCTAACAATCTTTTATACTAGTTAACTAAAGAAACACAGTTTTTTAAAGTTCGTATACTACGAGAACTATAAATGAAGAGAGAATGAAGCCACAGAAATGGTATGGCCATTTTCACAGTCAACCTGACCAAAGAAAACAGCTTCGTTTTTACTTTAACCATGCAAACACGCACAGGCAAAGGTAGAGGTACCAAATCGAACCCAGTGAAACAAAAAGGTGATTTTGAATATAAAGAAATTGGGCTTCTAGACACTTGGAACTTTAGAACCAGACTCCTACCTGTTCAATTAAATTATATTGATAGATCTTGTCTATCTCTTACATGCCAGGCGCTGGTAAGTGATGAGGATAGTAAGACAACTTACCATCATCTTATTTGGCAAATCTTTCCTGTTTCTTCCATCTCTAGATGAAACTAACCACCTTCTCTGCACTAAATCTGTGCCTTGTATATACTTTTTTATTGCCACACTTATCACAAAGGTGTAATTTCTTTGTTTACACCCCCATCCCTTTCTAGACTGTAAGCTCCTTGAGGGCAGGGTTTGTATCTAATTTATCTGAACCTCCCCACCACCAACCCCCCTCCCCCCAGTACCTAACAATGATGGCCGGTGCAGGAGAAGCTCAATAAATCATTGTTGGAAAGAATTGGGTTATAATGTGATGAATGTCACATGCAAACGCAAGATAAAAGTGCTATGGGATCCAAGAGGAAGGAATAAATTTAAAGAGATCATGGAAAGCTTCAGAGCATAAGTGACATGCAATCTAGAAATTGCAATATAAGATAAATTTGCCCAGATGAGGTAAAAAGGGCAATCTGGGCAGAAAAAAAAAAATTAGGTGAATGGAGGAGAGGTGTGAAAAAATGCTTTTATTGTGGGAACAGGTGTTCCAAATAGAGTGTGGGGTTCATAAAGAAATGTAAACTGTCCCACTACTATGAGTCAAAATGGTGTAGTTGTTTGATTTTTCCTGGACTTTGGCTTATTGCCCTCTATTTGTACCCCACATTCTCATCCCTGGCAATTAGTATCATTCATTCTGCTGCTTTCTACCCCCTACTCCTTTTTGCTCTCCCTCCCTAACTTCCCTCTTAAATGTTGACCTCTTTTATCTTTACTTAGCTGGAGTCATAGCACTTGACATTTTCAAACTAATCTTTATGCCAAAATCTCCTTTCTAGTTCAACCAACCTTGCTTTTGTGCCATTTGGAACTCAGAGGAACAGCTGGGAGATGATAGCTTTGTCAGGCTGCTCTTACACAGTTAGAAATGAAAGCTGCCCTTATATGTCACCTGCCTTCAGCATTGCCCCACTTATCTAGTGTTAGACCACTCGGACACAGGTCCAACATTGCTTCGCTGATTAACAGGGTGGCCCACAAGCAAGACTTCATCAAAGATGGCTTTAAAATATGAAGCCCGAGTTTATTCAATGAATACCCTAGATGGAGTATTTATGGCTAAACAGTGATGCAGGTGAGGTTGGAGTACATAGTTCACAGGCAAAGACTTCTAAGTAAAAAAAGGAAAAGAAAAAAATTAAGAAAATGAGGGGCTTAGCTGCATCTTGAAATTGTCAACCGAACACCACCATTATATTAAACTGTCAAGTTTTTTCCTCACATAACAAAAAAAAATGTATTTTATTTCTCTTAATCTAAACATTATACTTACAGACACATTGTTATATAGTACCTAAACAAAAGTTTTCATAAATGTGTTTAAGTCATCCCAATTTGGGTAATTCTGAAGTCTCAACTTCATCCTTTCTTTGTAAATCTCACTGAAGCATTAGACCTCAAGTAAATACAAAAAAAAAAAAAAAAAAAAAAAATCCCTGTCATTTGTGTAGCTCAGTTCCTAGCGTTTTGATTGTTTTGTTGATGACTAATTCCAGAGAGGCTTAAACTGTTTTAGGCAAAGTTGTATGTCTAAAATCAAACAGCTTTTCCACTTTAGGAATTTTTTTTATTATACCTCAGTTTTTAGGAAGTTTGCATCCTTGACTTTCAATAAAAGAATGACACTTTCAGTAGTCTTCAAATATTTTTGTTTTTTCATTCACTGTTTTAAATTGCTGATAAATGTCAACAAATGAATATATGCCTCTATATACCATTTGGTAAATTCTACTTGAATTTACATACTGACTAAAAATGGTAAAATATGCTTCAAATTTGCATTTTGTCATTTACCAACTTCAGAAATATTGCTTATTCTCTTCTATGCATTACTTTTGACCCTAATAGTTGTTTGTTGAAATTAGTTATGTTTGATTTGGTTGAGGAAGGAGGTTAAATTATTACTTAGTGAATATTAATACAGCGTCAGAAGTAAACACTGGCATCCAAAGTGTACTATCAAAGAGTACATTGAATTCTTAAAATTAGGAAATATATTTATTCAGAAGAGTTTGAGTAAATATTCATCTAAGATTATTATATTTTGACCAAAATAATAGTCTAGTCATTTAGAAACATGCCGTTGTTAGGATTTCTCCTTTACCTTATTCTTAACCTCTCTAGAATTTACAAAACAAACAACAAACTCCCTAGGTTACAAAATCTCTAATCATTTAAAAAGTAACATATGCTGTTTCCCCCAGTGGAGACTGGAATATAATTTGTAATTGTTTCCATACTGGTTTCTTCCTAAGCTCCCCTTTGTCATTTTACAATGTTTTATTAAAATTATTCATATCAGGGAGCTACGTATTCATTACTGAGAAGTAACATTCTTGAACTCATTTAAAGGAAATGTTTCTACATTGTTATAATATTACCCAATTGATATCAGTACATATGAAAT